CTCACATCACACCACACTTATCTCTTCTGCCTCCCTCCTCCACTTATAAGAACCCTTGTGATTACATCAGGCCCACCCTGATGATATAAAATAATCTCCCTACTTAATTCCATCTGAAATTTTAATTTTCCTTTACCATGTAAGGTAAAATATTTACAAGTTCTAAGGATTAGGACATGTAATCCATTGGGGGGCCATTTTGCCCACTCCATGTACTATGATTTTTTTCCATATATTCTTGTAAAATATTTTGAAATTAAATATTTTACAACTATTAGATGAATCTTCTTGCTAGTAAAACAGTTTCTTGTATTTTGAAGTATAAATAGTTGAGTCTAACCCCCCAAATATGCTTCATGGGAGTCTACTGGAATTTTAAAGAAACTTTCATTTTCTCATTTATTTTAACTAGATTACTGTAGCATCTATTGGAAAGAAATACCATTTTCAGTCTGGTTACTACTTATCATTTTCACATTTTTGAGCCCTTATGTGATGAGCAATAATGGTACAAAAATGACTGTCAACACCAAGAAGCCATCGGGAAGCTATATGGTCTAATTAAAGCCACCCTAAATAGATTTAAATTTATTTCTTAAAGAAATACTTGACCTTGCCCTTAATTATTTCCTCTACACGTCAGCAGACAGAATGGCACTTGTTATTGAGCTTGACTCTCAAAATGCCTATTTTACCATACACCTTTTCAAAATGATTAAAGCATGTAGCTGTACAGCAGTACCAGAGTAAAAGGGCTTCAATTCATTGTATATATGCACCTAAACCTTCAATAAAAAAGGTTTTAGATGATTATCTCAAAGAGCATCTTTTCATGGACTAAGGCAGATCATACAGGTTTATGTATTGTTTACTACCCTCAGACATCTTTTACAGATTTGCACTTTGGTGTTACACTAGTGTACTTAGTAGGTACTCAAGGTAACGTCATACACTTTCATATCATGTTTGTCTTTAATTAACAGTTATAAAAAGGAATGTGGCTTACTTGCTTATGTTTTGACAGTATGACACCATCTCATAAAGCTTCTGCTGTCCTACATTTTCCATGACCACCATTGAACTTACTCTGAATATATCTCCGAAACCATAATACAAAATACACTCTGCTTTCATGTCATCTCGACCTGTGGTGGGAGAAATCTTGACAGTGCATAACTACTTTAAAAAATTCAAAACATGCAAAAACAATACATGTAAAATGATCTGGAAATACTTCATACTACATCTTATCTTAGCATACATAAGAAGAAGTAATTCATAACACTCCAATAAAACATAAGTAAAATTTCTCCACCTGCAAATTAGTGTAAAACTGCTAGAAAGACTTCACTATTTGTTCTAAAAATACTCTCCAAGAAAGAAGATTAAAAATATAGAATTATTAAACATTTATTATGTATTTTCTGGAAAAGCTTTCTAAAAAGTTATTTCTGGATATGAGTTTTACATACCTGCACGTCCACTCTCTTGGTAATAATTTTCCATAGATTTGCTCATTGAATGATGAATAACAAACCTCACATCTGGCTTATCAATTCCCATTCCAAACGCAACCGTTGCCACTATTACCTAAAATGTTTTAACATCTTATCAGTTAAGTCAAATTTAAACATTTTAAAAAGTAAATTAGGCTTCTTTTGAAGATATATACTTGACCTGAATTTCATTGGCTGACCATCTTCTATGAACCTTGGTCTTATCTTCTGGTTCCATATTGGCATGGTAAGCACCTGCATGAATTCCCAAATTCTGTAAACTAACCGTAACTTGTTCAGAGTCTTTCTGAGAAAAACAATATATGATTCCTGCAGTAAAATATGTCCAGTTGTTAGATACATAGGGTACATTCCTGGAAGATAATTTTCAATATACACACTAAGACATGGATTAACACAATGCAAAAGCGGGGAAAGGGAATTATGAAAAATTCCGAGGACCTGAGTATATACTGACTTTTTGGCATAATTCAAGATTTGACCATGAGCTTGCTCAAAAGCAGAAAGGAGCCCTGAGTAGCCAGTTTTGGTTCCCATTGCCTCTTTTTCTCTCTCCAACTTTTCTTTTTTTTTTCCTTTTTGTCTTTTTTCGTGACCGGCAACGGATCACAACCCTCAGTGT